TTAGCCTCCATCTGTGGATGGGACTGGCCTTCTTCCCTCCAGCCTTTCCATGTCTGCACAGGGTGCTGCCCACCACCATCTCCACCTCTCTGAGCCCTCGGAGAAGAGTAGGGGCAGGACTCTACGGGGGCATGGATGAACTCTCCTCTTCCAGCTTCAATTACATGTTTCTTTTTCCGTCTCACTGGTCAGTGGTGATGGCATAGTTGAGAGCTTTCTCTCCTTGGTCTGGGAGCTTTAAACTCCTGCTGTCACCAGCAGCCCCTGCCCCAGTAAACTTGCAGTCTAAAAATAAGCCAATAGACTACAGGTGGCTGGGAGAAGCATGGAAACATGCAGGCAAAGCAGTGAGACAGTCCTGAGCATAATAAATAGCAGTCACCACACACCACCTGCCTCTCCATTATCAGCTGCTTTGTAGGCATCGGAGCAGGCAGGAGCTTGAAGGAGAGGTTTGGAAAGAGGCTCGCAGAGGCTTCAGGCTGCTTTAGGCAGAATTTTGCCCATATAGAGGGATTAGGAGAGAGAGAGAGAGAGCCTGAAAGCATTTGCAGGAAAAACTAACAAAAAGTCTACGAATGCTCACTGCATGCCGTGGTCTGCACATCTAAAGGTCTCCCAGCAACGTATAGGGGTCAGTGGCAATCTTCATTCCACGGTCTGCAAACAGGGTAAATGAGGCATGGAGGGTTGAAGTGCTCTGGATAACAAATTGAGCAGTGCGCAGGTGTCCTGTCTCCAGCTGGCCCCAGCTCTGGGTACAGGGGAGGAGGGAAATGTCTGCGCTTGAAGATTTCGTCCTTGCTTTCTCGGTTCTGCAGGGTCCGGGGGAGAGGGAGGACGGAGGGCAGAACGCGATAAGTGGCATCTCTTTTACTGGACAGAAAACAGGTTTCCAGTGACCGCAGTGGTTTGCACCTTAATTATTTCCTTTGGCTCTGCTACTGGTAAAGGCTGTGTCCTTAAAGTTATTGAAAGGGCAGAAGAGAGAGAGGAAAAACAATTTCGACATCCTGTCCATTTGGTCCAGATGTCGCTCACAGAATACAAATTAGCGGGTGCAGAAAGGAATCACTTAAAAAGAAATTTAATGAGATTGGTATTCAGGCATCTGTTTTCCATCAATCATAATTTTGTGTGATATGCAATGGTAAATATCATATTTTTAATGACTCGAATGAGGAAAAAAGCCCAATGTGTGCGCGCACGCACACACATGTGTAATGAGCCAACAAAATTTGAGAGTCTGAGCTCCAGAAAAATGTTCTGTAGATTGGGGGGGGGAGAACCAACAAACACCTCTTCTAATTCACTATTGTTTGACTTATTTTATTTCTTCCTCCTTTTTTCCCTTTCCTCTGGTTATATTTAACCTTTGTGTTAAATTAATCTTCTGTGTTTATTCACAGCTACCACTGAGCTGGTCTCATTCCCTCTTTTTTTTTTTTTGTTTGCAACTCAAATATTTCCTCCAGGCCTAAGCCAGAAGTTTTTACTGCAAGTGCTTGACTTTATCCACCAGTGGAGAGAAAGAAGGAGGCATTAACCATTGGCTCCAGGTCTCTAGCTGGTCATCAACTTCCTTTTTGACTTTAGCAAGTTGTTTTTGGCTCCTCTCGCTTTCAGTTCGCCATCTGCGAACTAGGGAAAACACTCATGCCCTCCCGCATAGGGTAGCGAGCTGCATGAAGGGCAGCCCCTGCACTTATGCTGAGGGGGATCTATAAGACTAAAAACCACTCCCCCAACGCAACGTAGGACAGCGTTGCACCCTTGCTCCTCATCAGGCACGTGTTTCCTGCTCCTGCATGTTTTCAGGATGGGGTATGAAGAAGGTGGCCTGGGTTTTGCTGCTTTTATGTACTTCTGGCATAGTTCATCCAGCGAGGACACAGAAAGGTCTCGTGCCTCCTCCCTCAGCCCTGGGGACTGCTCTCAGCCTTCTCTTGCAGGTCCTTTAGAAATGCACGGTCACTGGGTTCAGTTCTCACGGGGGATGTCACCTTTGGGGCCTGCAAAATGAGAAGGGCTGGAAAGCAGTTACTTGGTGTGACCCTGGCAGGAGGCTCCTTGGTTTTGCTTAGTCTTGGCTCCTGGTGCCACATGCCTAACATGGCAGAGGAGATGGAGGTGATACCATTGGACAGAGGCAACCCCCCTTTGCCCCCAGCTTGCGTTTGTGAAGCGTGCTCACCCCAGTAGCACCTCTCTAGTCCTTCTCTTTGTGGGGAGATGTTGGGAGTTCTGATGATGGAGGAGTCGGTTTTCCTCCCTGACTATGTGCCTTCTGCTGAAAGACAGTGTGAGTCAGACTGGTGTGTTGTGTGGTGGTGGCTGTTGTTCCCCAGCCCATTCCCTTTGGTCTTCACAGCATCATGCCCTTAAACTGAACTCATTTGAGGCTTTTCAGGGAACTTTGGGTGGCAAACAGGGACTGGGGACTTGGAGGCTTCAGCATATAGACATATATACCTGCACCAGGGTCGTCTTTAGGCAGCTAGTCCCACTTTCACCCCGAATCCTGAGGAGAGCAGGCTGACTTGCCAGGAAGGACAGCTGCCTGGGCTGGGCATTGGGAAGGAGAAGATCTGCCAACAGGGACAGCACAGAGCTTAGATGTGACCTTGGAAGGTCTGCTAGCTGTCGATAGCTGAGAGGCATTGATCTGCACCGGCTGGCTCGAGCTGCCGGCTCAGGGACAGCAACAGATTGTGTAGGAGAGAGGGAGGGAGAGAGCAGGATGGAGGAAGGAGCTTGAGCTCCCAGAGGGAGGCAGGGTGCAGGAAAAATGGTCCCATTAAAAGGGAGAAGAACATCTGCCCTTCTGTTGGGAAGCAGTCCAGGTGGAAGCCTCACATCCCAGGAGCAGGGCATGATCACCAGGGGCCCGGCTGGCGTCAGTTGCCCCAAGCACGGCTTGAGGAGCTGGTGGATCTGCACAGGGCCACGGGGACCGCTGTCTCGACCGTGGCCACCTCATGCTCTGACAGCCTCTGCCTCATCTCTGTCGGCTCTGAACTGAAGGAGACGAACTGCAAATCTCTGTGGTGACAGGAGCTGGAGGGGATCCGGGCTGGGGGAAATGATTTCTCCTGACAGGGAACAGATGTGGCAGGAGGAGCTTCTCTGAGCTCAGCCTGGGGGAGGTTGCACAATAACAGGAGGAGTTTTGTCATGGGCCCCCCCTTTGGCTTTTAAAAGCAACACCTTGTCCCCCTCCTTTCCACCTTCCTGCTTCCCCCACCCTTTCCGCTGCACACTCTTCACACCTCCAAAACCTATTTTGGGCCATCTGATGAATCCCAGATGCCTCAGAGAAGTAACAGAAGTGGTGGTATCTTCCACTCACCGCTTCGCGCTGCTTTCTTGGCAACGCCCCGAATCTTTCGCAAGCCCACAGAGTGGGGGAAGGAAATGGGGGGGCGAGAAAGAGGATAATGAAGTGGTCTGATCACCGCTAAAATTGCGATTGTCCCTGGACCAGGGAAGATGATGCAACCTGGTGCTGGAGGCAGGGAGCAACGGTTGGGAGCGGGCTGGGAAATATTGGCATGGTTTGAGATCGTGCTTGGGGAGGGGGTTTCAGCAGCCTGGGCAAGGGGAGGAGGCAGATGGGTGATGGGAGGCCTCTGTCTGGGGCTGAGGACGGAGCAGACATGGAGGGACGGCCCTGAGAGCTGTCTGCCACCTCCCAAGCACCCGCCGCTGGCTCCCCTCCAGTCGAACATAGGCACAGACGGAGGCAGAGGGAGCCCAGCTGCTCCAACCCGATGATGTCTGGAGTTGAAGGGAAGGAGATGGGTGAAAGGAGGGAGCAAATCCTGCTGCTGTTCTCTCTGGTGTAAATCCAGTGGAAAGGGGTGGTTAATGCAACTTGAGCTACAGTCCTGGCTGTGAATAGCCACAGACTGGGGCCTGCAGTGATGGGATCTGTGGGCCCGGTCCCTCAGCTCCTGCTCCGACACCCTTGGGCCCCTTGGACGCAGCTTCCTCCTGCTGGAGGTGCAGAGCCAGGGTCCTGCTCCACTCGCTCTGCAGGGGCTCTCCGCGCCTGGCTCCCAGCTGCATCTTTGCTCTGTGCCCCTGGGAAAACATCACCTGATGCAGGAGCAGGGCACTGACCTCCTTCCCCAGCAAGGAGGTTTAGCAGCAGTTTAAGCAGACACACAACACTTGGGCACCTCAGGGTGCTCCTGAGCATGGCTTAGCAGCTCAAAGGTAGCCACAAGTCTGTTTGGCTCAGCTGTGTTTTGTTGGGATTGATTTTCATCCTGCAGAAAAGAGGGTCCACAGGAGCTTAGATAGGAATGTTGGGTGTTGAGCATGTTCTTTTGCTGCAGCTGAGGGAAATGGCTCCTGGCATAGAGTAGCAGCAATGTGAGCTCAACCACCCAGTGGTTGTGAGTGCCTTGTGCCCTGACCTCTGTGCTGCGAGCTCTGGGCTGAAACCTTGCTGCAAACTCTCAGATGGGCCAGATCTGTGAAAGCCCGGGGGCAGCTGGATCAGGGAGTGAGTCCTTTGCGGTGGTGGTACAGGCATAAAGTGTGCTGTGCCAAGAAGCTGTGGTGCATCTGGGCAAGAGGGGTAGGGAGAGGCTGGCTCAGGTGAAGGAAGAGAACTGCGTGCTTGTTCCCAGCTCTCTGCGGCAGGATGTGGTGTTTTGGTATGTGAGAATGTATATAGCATCTGGTACACCAGTCACTGGATGTGTTGCCAAATATATTAGTAAAGAATTTGGTCTTGCCTCTGCTTGGCAGATGAATATCCAGCTGGGAGGTTGTTCTAGCAGATAGGGGAGGTCTGGGAGAAAGGCAATAACCTATTGATTTTTAAGCAGCTGAGCGCACCAGTGTCAGGGAATTCAATGAGAAAGCCAACACTGGCTGTGTTAGATTGCAATGGGGTAGTTTCCAGCTTCTCCACCACTTCATGCTTTGCTTTAGCCTCTCAGGCTGTTCCCACACTCCTATTGTACTCAGTGTCTTTCCTTTCTCTGAAGGCTTTTTGTCAACTTCCCATCAGCCAAGCAGTACTTCAGCCAGTTCAAGCACATGGAGGACCCGCTGGAGATGGAGAGGAGCTTGCAACTGCGTAAGCACGCTCAGCGGGTCATGGGTGCCATTAACACTGTGGTGGAGAACCTCAGTGACCCAGAAAAGGTCTCCTCCATTCTGGCCCTGGTGGGCAAGGCCCATGCCCTCAAGCACAAAGTGGAGCCCATCTACTTTAAGGTAAAGGATGGGAGCAAAAATCTCTGGGATGCTTTGGAAAATAGGAAGAGGGCAGGAGAGAGGGAGCTGTGGCAAGCCAGGCCTGGTTGTCCTCACCCTGAGGAGGTTGCCTGCTTGCAGGAATTTTTCCTCGCGTGGCTGTGATTTCCCACTGCAATGTTCTCCCTTGCAGGCCAGTGTTTCCAAATGCAGCCACCGCTGGAATATCAGGCATCAGCAATTCCCTTGCCTGGGCCTGGGGAAACCTGCCTTACGGCGTCCTCAGCCACCTCTTCAGGCGTGCTGGTGGCCATATGTCCCCTCTTGAGGTCTTTTCAAAAATCGAGTGTGATGGAAGGGACTAAAAAAATTTGAAGTGCCAAAACTAGGGAAATGCTTGAAAATGCAAACAGGGTCCTGCCTGTATCTCAGCCTCCTACCATCTTCCCAGGTGGGCTGATTAGCATCTGTCTGTCTCCTGGGGGAGCTGAAAGTCTTCATGAATGTCTGTCAGTCCTGGAGAGGGCTGGGCAGACAGTTTGAGTTCCCAGAATTCAGTAATGGAATTGATATTCTTTTTTTGTTTTTTTTTTTTTTTTGTAGGGTAAAGAGCTAAATTCATTGTTACTTGCTCATGGAAAGAGTTCACTAACCTCATGCTATACCCCTCCCTCCAGAAACTCACTGGTGTCATGCTGGAGGTCATTGCTGAAGAATACGCCAATGACTTCACCCCGGAGATGCACAGCGCTTGGACCAAGATGAAAACCCTCATCTACACCCACGTGACGGCGGCCTACAAGGAGGTGGGCTGGGCGCAGTATCCGAACGCCACCCTGTGAGCGGACAGTGGGGAAGGGCAAGGGGCAGGGAGGGATTCGCTCACACCAGGACTTCACTCTGGTCTCTTCTCAAGATCTTCGCTCAGTCTGGGGAGCCCAGTAGGGCCAGCTCTGTTAGCTGCCAAGTCAAAATTTGATCTCCATGGGGTTAAAAAACAAAACAAGCCAAAAAAAAAAAACCACAAAGAGGGTGTGGGTGGGTCAGCGTGAAGCAGTGACAAGGGATGTTGGAAGAGGGGAGAGAGTTGATGGTTGGCTCTGTCTTACAGTCCTGGCCTGTCAGTCGCCACCTTCCCAAGCCCTGTGCCGCCCTTATACCATCTCCGAGAAACAACCTTGCACGAGTCCTGCTGCAAGGCAGTGATGTGCAGCCCTGTTTACCAATGATTGAAATGACCCTTGTTTTCTGCACAAAGCCCCAGGGTAAACCTGGCTCCTTGCTTTCTGGGGTGTGATGCTTATCAGGACTGCAAGCTGCTCTCCCGCCCTGCTGGCAATGAAAATGCTTTGCTTTGCCTGCGCTTTCTCTACTCACCTCCCAGGATGGCAGCCCTGGATTCGCCACAGCTGCAGCCAGAGCTGCACATCACTGTACATCACCGGTCCAGCAGCAGCACTCATCTCTTTATCCAAAGTCCTGCTTCTTGGCTATCTGTTGCAAACTGTCGTGGAGATGGAGGCAGCAAGGGGACGGGAGAGACGTGCCACTCGTCTCGAGTGTGAGAGCGAGGAAGGAGGGGACCCACCTGGGGCAGCTGCCCCTCGTGGCCTGGAGCTCGGCGCTGCAAGCAGGCTAGATCCCTTGTGCTGGTAGCCGCTGGCTGCTATGCACCAGCCACAGGCACCAGATCCAGGGAGCTGGCGAGCCGATCCGCCTCCCCTTAGCTCCTCTGGGGTTGCCTCAGGAGGCAGGGACATGTGTGAGAATCACCTCGGACAGCACGGGTTATGCTTCGGCCGTTGCCTGCTGCTCCAGGAGCTAGTGCGTGTTGGTCAGTCTGTCTGGCAGGCAGGAGGAAGGAGATGGAGGGACGTAGAGCCAGGGTGCTTCTGCCTTGCTCTGCAAGGAGGGAGATTCAGGCTGGGCTCAGGAGGGGAGAAAGATGATGTGAGCTTCCAGGACAGATTCCTGGGTGTGATGGAAGGTCCCTGCTCTGCTAAAATAAATAAATCCCTTGTTATGTAGAACATATTCCTGCCCTGTTGGTGAAACTGGGTTCCTTCAAATAAAGTGCCTGGTAGAAATCTTTCCATGCAGGACGTTCCTTGTACCCTCATGGACCATCAATCCTCCTGCCTGGCCCTGGCAAAGAGTACTGTGACCCCAGCGAGACGGCTGTAGCAGGAGCAGAGCGGTCACAGTGCTCCTCCTGCCTCCGACATTGGCACTTCCTGAAGCTTTGGGCAAGTCTGCTTATTTTTGCTGCCTCAGTTTCCCCTTTGGTTACAAAGAGAAGAGAGGAGGCGATAGCCACATCCCCTCTCTCTCACACAGGCTCTGTTTTATAGGATGCTGCGGGGATCAACGAGTGAAAATCTGGGGGCAAAACATGAAGTTCACTGGGCTGCTTTGGCATTCTTCCCAAACGGTATTTTTCAATGACACCCCAAAATGTCTCTGCTATTCCTCTAGCTCAAATGTTAAGAGAAATGTTACTTATTCAAAGAGGGCAGGAGAATTCCCTTCTTCTGAGACGAGATTTCTTCTGGCCTCCAACGGCTACTGCCCTCGGAGGCAGCTGCCTTCCAGGGCAGACCAGCTCCTCTCCTACATGTTGGCTCTGTGTCTGCTCGTGCTCCTTCCCTGACATAGCGTTGCTGTTCCCCACAAAGCTGAAACTTCCTTGTAGCAGGAGGCAGCAAGTGGCCAGTGGCTGCGTGTCCTCTGCCTTGAGAGGCCACAGAGATGAGTCTTGCGCGGGTCCCCGTCCCGTGCTCATTGCTGGCATCACCTGCACTTACGAGCTCTCCCATGATGAGCAGAGCTAAATCATGCTTGGCAGGGGCCTGATGCAGGGAGCCTTTGGTATGTCGGAGCCCCCCGGGAAGTCTTGAGTCAAATGACGTGATTTGAAGTTGCAGATAGCCCAGTGTCCATCTCCCAGATTGGGGCAAGGCAGGGACAGCGACTCCCTCCTCTCATTTTGACTGGTTCTTCCAGCTGCCCCCCTTTGCCCCAGCTCTGTCCACTTTTCTTTTCCAGTTTAATTTGCAGCAATGTTACTCGCTGGGCAAGTTACTCCCACCTGAGGCTTCCCTTTCCATGCCCTGGCAGGATGGGACCCCTCTTCCATTTGAATGCAGGGCTGCAAGTGAGGGAGAGCACTGGGCTACTTTGGGCAAGAAGCTCCTTTGAGCAGGGACTGTGTCAACTTCTCTATCTCGAGCATCACAAGGATCTCATTCATATACAATTTCTTACCCCGTTTGCGTGCTGAACAGTCGTTTCCCCTCATTCCCACCCTTGATTTTGCCTTCAGACTAGTATGACCACTGCATGCCTCTGTCCTAGACCCAAGGTGAGCTGCTGCTTGGAGGCAGTATTAGATGCAACGAGTTTTGCCAGGCAGCCACCTCTCCCCCGCTTCTTCCTCCAGCTGTGCAGCCTGGCAGCCCTCCCTCCCCTCCATGGCTAGCCTTGCCCCAGAAGGCGTCTTTCCCTTCTGTGTTCACCTCTGGGTCCCTCTGTGCTCTGCTTTACATAGCCTGGAGTTTGTCCCACCACCCAGTGGCCTGGCTCTGGGCAACAGGGAATCCATGGCATGCTCTAAGCTACTTGGCCACGTTCCCCAGCCTGTCTCCATGGTGCTCCATCACCTTTCCCTGCTTGCACCCGTTACTTTTGCCGCGCTGAGCCTGGCTGCAGGGCTGCAAGGAAACCCCCAGTGTAAGAGATTTCAGGCCTCTTGGAAACGGCTTCCCTCACGGAACAAGGAATAACAGCTCTGCCAGGGAAGAAGGAGGTTTTCCAAAGCAAACAGCGAGCGGGTTCCCGAACTCCTCCCTCCCGGGGGGGAAGGCAGGGCCAAGCCTCTGCCAGGGACCAGATCCTCCCAGATGCCTTGGGAACCGGCCCAGGACGGGTATGAAAACCAAACCTGCTGCAGTCACTCTTTTGCCTTGCAGCGCTTTCTTCCCCACATCCCTCAGCCAGAAACAAGCTGCTAGAAGAGCCCCAGCCGGGAGCTGCCCCCCTGGGGCACCCTGAGCGTAACCAGTGGGAATGGCAGCCCAGGGAATGGCCGTCCAGCTTCCCTCGTCACAGCAGCACGCAGCCGCTGCGCGGTGAAAGGGTTGCAAATGAGGAAGGGAGCGGTGCTCGGTGACTCTGCTGAGGCTGGGCTGTAATTTAGAGCATCAGCATCCCCTGAAATTCAGCCCACCGGCCTGCGCCCGTAAAAATGCCAACAGTCGACACCTCTGGCTCACGGCCGCGTGCCTGCGTGGCTGCTCGTCCTTTGCACCACCTCCAGAGGCGTCTCTCCAACGTCAGCTGCGCTTGCAGCTGGCCGGTGTCAGGGCTAGGCCCATGCAGATGGGAAAGGACCTGCTAAATCATTGACCTTGTTCCAGCGTGAGCGTTTGGAGCGCAAATGTCAGGGTTTCTGCCTGCTTGCTGGGTAACTTCACCAATTCCTGCCAAAACCTTGGGGTCAGCGGTGCGGGTTTTTTGGGTTTTTTTTGATGAGTTCATGTGCTCTCCAGGCCATGCAGATACAGGGCAAGGTCAGAACAAGGACGTTTCATCTTTAGGCAAAGTTCACACGTTAACCTTGGAAGTTAACATGCTCCAGAAGGGAATTTTGGTTTTCAGTTTGGTTTCCTCTCTTCTGCTCCTTGCTGGGCTCGGATTGAGCCTGGCAGCAGTTGGAAGCAATCCCACTGGCTTTAAAGAAAGGAGGGTTGCTCCCCACGGCTGGGCTTGGGGAGGGGGTCGCTGCCCCCCCAGCAAGTGAAGCAGGGCTGTCTCCATCGGCTCCAGGGCGTCACCACGGCCAAGGGAAGCCCCGGAGTCGGAGGACATTTGAACGTAGCTTAGTTTCTTCTTTTTTTGCATCTCTAAACAAATTGGCCCTCCCAAATGCCCGGACAATCACGCTGCAGAGAGGCTCCGTGACTCTGTGTGTGTGTGTGTCTTTGTGCACAGGCATGTATATGTTGGGCTTGCTTTTTATCCAAGTGTATTTTTTTAAACCAAATCCAGATGTATACAGCTGCTGTCCCTCGAGGGTCCACCCCAGCAGCCAAATTGCAGGCCGTTCAAATATATGCAAACAAAAACATGTTTATTTTTACCAGCTCTGTAGGAAGTAACATGAAGCAAGGAGGGCAGCCAGGGGAGAGTTTGCTAAGGGAATAGATAGAGATAAAGCAAACGCCCCCTCTTTGCCGCCCCCAGCACAGAGCAGGCATTGCTTAAACTGGGAAAACTCTCATCTCAGGAGAGATGAAAATGAACAGAAAAAGGAAAAACTATGATTCCAGAGTGACAGAGGGATGAAAAATGCAGCATGGACAAGCAGAAAGGGAGGACAGGCCTTGGCTCCCAGCGTGGGTCTCTGCACAGCCACGCACATGCACACGCAGCTGCTCCCCGTAACGCACAGCCGTCTGGTTCGCATCCAAGCCGCTCGCAGCCAACTGGGGATCCATTTATCAGCTCCTGCCGTTGGGCCCTGCTCACCGGCACACGCGGTT